AAATTTCATCAAGTCATAAACAGCTTCTCCAATATAATTTAGTCACATATGGAAATGTTCATTGACGATAATATGATACTTGAATCAGCTTCAATATTGTCTTTTTAAGGATATATCTAAGACAAAATATAATTCTTGGGATTTCTTGATTTTCCAGTTGGAACACTTAAGCACTCTTGGTGGCATAGAACATTAATATTTTCAACTTTGTCTATGAAATAATATTACCAGTGTCTATATGTGAGTACCACAGCCTCAATAAATAATGGAAAACACAAAGACATTCACCAATCGTTCAATTTTATTTATAAATAATACCCTAAGCACATATCTCAAATTAGATTACATTTCTACAAGGAATAGTGCTACTATTCGCTACAGTATCTTTATGGAACTATACATTTTAAAACGCGAAGAGATTGAATGAGCACCGTTTTCATAAGAAAAAGTCGGATAGTCACGGGATTACTCTTATTCGTGCATAGTTGTCCTTTCAAATAATCATAAAATCCTAATCATTTTAATCCTAATTCTGGAATTCACATGAGATTTTTGGGATGATCATGGGATTTTCGGGATTATCATGGGATTTTTGGATTTTTATTGGGATTCAAAATCCCGAAAATCCGCCGTTTCCCCCTTGGCGATTCTTCTTCCCCAATAACTGAAATTTTTATTATTTTTATCAGTTAAAGTATTGAAAAACGATGATGTAGTATGGGTTAATACTTGTTTTTCAAGATATAAGATTAAATTATGTCTGTCTCAAACAGGCTATAAAGTAAAGTTGAAAATTTTTCACTTAGTATAAATTAACGACTACATAGCTACAGCCAATACGAAAAAGCTCTTATCTTTAGTAGCGTTATTTTTGGCGTTATTTTTACGTTGGAGGAGCTTTGTTTTTGACTGATTGGCAGAAGTCTATCCGTCTTCTACGTTAATAAATTTTGAACTAAAATTATAAGTTGAATTTGATGACGAGGTAAGTTTTGGAAAGAATTGGCACAAGAACAGGAGTCTATCAGCTTCCAAAACATTTATTTCAGTTAATGAAATCAGTTGCATAAGGGTCATCATCGGTTGTTAAACATTTAAAACTTGATTCTAGAAAGTTTCGATCAATTGTGCTTCCTGGGAAGATGGCTTTGGTCAAAAGTGATTATTGCATAGTCACTGATGTGACACCTTTGGAGTTGCAAATATCGAGATACTTTTTGTATATCGTAAGGGGACAATTTCCTTTCGAAAAAAGCTGGGAGGTAAAATTTTTGTTTTCTCTTCTATAGGATGTTCTTGTGTCGAAATAATCTGTTTCAACATAAATAGTCAAAAGGATATTACCATGAAAAAATGGTAGAGCTAATTTTAATCTTGATCAGCTCAGAACATCTCTGCACATCCTAATTTTGCTTGTTTCCTTTTTTTGATCGTCATTTTCTAGTGTGCAGCTCGGTTCTTCTATTATATATAACTCTCCTATGCAATAATATTAATTCATTTATATTGTATATGCAAAAACAACACAGAATAAACAACTACAAATCTATTTTTAGTGTAACTATGCACTATCTTGAATAAAACTTTTTTACATCCCACGCAAACTTCAATTAGGGTTGGGAAAACACTATCACAGACAAAAATAGTATACATTTGGACGAGTCAAACTTCTTCTGAAAAAACATCCTCGACATACACTGCTATTAAAAATTACAAAATAAAAGAATAATTAGCGATCATAACTTTGACGAACATAGCAAGTTAATTTATTTTGTGAAAAAATGTTTAACTAGATGGGTTACCCATGGATAGGCTGGGCCGATTTTTAAAGAATAACCGTGGGCTGGGCTGGGCCAATTTTTCAAAGAAAACCCATGGGTGGGCTGGGCCAAAGATCGATAACCCATGGATCGACTTTCTTCGGCCAAGCACAGCCCATTCGGATCTCTGTTACTTATTATATTTTAGTCATGTCATCGAGCATCCACGTCAACAGGAAGAGATGTAAAAGTATTCTGATTTCATATAACACCTCTATATAAACTCTTCTCTGACGGCAATACCCAGTCAAGTGAATAATGAAGAAACGGTCATTAAAATACCTTATTACTTGTAACTAGATCGTTTCGATCATAAAAATGCATCTGCTCATATAAATAATGGTCAAATGGCCAATAAAACGAATAATAATTGATTGATATATAATTTTGACCATTTCACAATTACGGACTGTTTTTTTCAGAGTTTGAAGCTGATCTTAAAAATATTTATAACTTCAAAAGATTTATATGTATTTTTTATTTTTGCTTATCGAACATGTTTTTTGCGAAATAGTCAAAAACATTCTTGTGAACTTAATCGTCGAAACGTCTATCAAAATATGCGTCTCTGATGAAATTACAGTTAATGTCAGCCGAAAAGCCATGTTTTCTATGATATTGAGAGTTGATTTGCAATTCTTGAATCAAAAAGAATCTTTTTGTTCATAATAGTGCTAAAATTATAAGTTTTTCGATAAATATTGAATATCTATAATTGACAGTGTCGTCATCTGTTTTAGAAAGAAGATAGATTTCATTTGTATTTTAAATTAGCTGTGTATCTTAGGCGACTAACCTAAAATTATTTCTTTTTCTCTCAAAATAAATGAGTAGGATTCGAAGAGGCTAAAACAGTACAAATGACTGATCGAACTAGTTGCGCATTATCATTTATGAAGTCAAGTTTACTGTATATGAGAGGAAAACGCTGGACTAGTTAAAGTTTGATATCCTAAAATGAAATTGAATGATTAGAATTTAGGCACAAAATTATTTTGTTCAATGTGAATCACATTATGATACAAACAACTAAGAGATATCACGTTCCGTTGAAATTAAGTGTGATCCTTATTATTAATGTTGCTATTTTCGTTTGCTCTACTAAATTAATCGCTTAAACCGCTGTAGACAGATTTTCTTTTATGCGATGAAGTCTGCGTAAAAAAAACAGGGTGTGTAATTTATCTCAAATTAATCTGACAATCTATAGAAAATCATACAAAGTTTGTTTTTTAAATGACATTGTAAAAAAATGGTCTCGAATTTTATATGATATTGTTGATAATCATGATGACCTAAGAATATTTATATAAGCTCATTGATTTATTTGACTTTGTTTTACAAAATTTTTCGTCATATTGAACAAATATATTTAGTTCATTCTAGAGAGATATTTCTGTACTAATTAATCACTTAAATATTTTGTGCGCACTATTACAACATTTTCTGTACTCATATAATAGACATCTTTGTATACATCACTAATTGATAGATAATGTTCGACTATAATACAGCATTCTATTTTCTTATTCTACTCTTTAAAAAGGGTGTGGGTGTAGATGTGGATAAGAATAAGAGTATTTCCTTCAATTTTAGCAACACTAACACTTACACCTGTACACGAAAACTCATACTCGTACACCGATGGCTACGTTCACACTTACACCTTCAAGATATGCATAAACTAAACTCATCCACATCTACAATTCAACCAGATACTAGTATACTAATTGCCATGCTCTTAATGGACCACAATTGAACAGTATACTAGTGACGAGACTCTACGTTTTGCTTGCATCGCTGGTAAAATCTTTTGCAAATTTGCGTGTAATAAGTTATTATTTTGAACTGTGGGCTAGAGTTCTGCAGGACAATCCTACCCTACCCCAATCTAAGAGTGATGATGGAGTTATTTTCGGGGAAGATCCACACAAGCACACCCACACCAACATCGCAGTGTCTGCCAGGATTTCAACGAAAACATTATTTTGAAAGAGCGACCCCCATGGGATTTTTGTGGGCCATGTAATGCATGATTCATACAGAAGTAAACAATAGAATACTTTCAGAAACGCTTTCATTCTTGTTCTTACATCATATTCTCAAAAAGCATCTCTTTTTTTCTACCGAAATCGTTGGTAAATATTGGACTAACGATAGTTTAACGCTATCGTTCGTAAAGTCACGCTTTTTTCTTCTTCCTTTCTTTTCTCGTTGCTTCTCAAATAGAGTTTACAGGGGTTTGATAAGAAAAAAAGGGTGAAAAGAAGTCAATTTGCAAGATAAAAAAATCTTATTTTTCATAGACTGTTGAATTCATTTTGTATTTCTTCGCATCAAAAGCAACTTAGTTTGTCATTTCGTTTTGCTCCAAACATATATTCTGTAGGACTCAATGCTATCGAGCTCACACATACAAACTATCATAACTTGTGTCAATGAGACATTAAATACATTAAACGAACGACACATATCGAAACCAGGCACTTTATTAAACAATACAATATTAAATTGTAATGTGAACACATTTCCATTGAATCAAGGCGAGAGTGAATTACTACAAGCATTGACAGAGAAAATTGAAGATATTGTGAATGGTATTTTACCAACTATCAATGATGAATCTAAAAAATATTTATTTGACATGTTACATGAATATCATTATGATCGGATTAAGAATATATTTAAAGAGTCATTAACAATGAGTAATTTGCTTGCTCTTTTAAATGATCTCGAATCTACTGGAGCATCATTAGAAGCTTTCCAAGCTGCTTGGGACGGAAAAAGAGATCCTATTGAAAAATTCATTAACGAATACCCTCAACATAAAGATAAATCTGGAATAAAAGGAACAACTCTTTTATATTCGGTAGCGAGAAGAAAACATTTAGAACTTGTTAAATATCTTGTCGAAAAAGCAAAATGTTCTATTGCTGCTCAAAACGAGCAACATATTGAAATGGCCTTAACTGGATCAAGTAAAGCAGCGCCAAATTTTAAAGCTAATCCGCTTGCTGGTTCAACTGCTCTGCATGCAGCATGCTATTATGGATATTTAGATATTGTTAAGTATCTAGTAGAACATGGAGCTGATTATTATTTAAAAAATCATGCAGGAGAAACTGCAATTAGTAATGCGTTGCAGGAACCATCGATTAAACAATACTTTGAGAAATATTTAATTCTTGGTTATTTCAAAGAAACAGGTCCTTTACCAGTAGCACCAATTATTGAAGGTGGTCAAAAGTGTATCGATGATTGTCTATGGGAATATAAACCGTTTCAAGATTCTAAATGGTATTCATTCTCTGCAAATGAAGCAAAATTATTATCTAAATCTCTCAGAATATCTCCTAATGAAGAATTCCATTTAGAGTTTCATTTAAAGGTAGAAAAAGGCATCTATGGTGTTTCTACTGTCAAGTTCTTACGTTCTGGAAAAGATCTTAATTTTGATCAAAATTTGGCTTGGATAAGATGTCGTGGCTCATCGATTTTAAACTTTGATTGTTATTCTTTATGGCAAATAATGATAGATAGCGATAAATCTTCATCATCAATGCAACCACTTGACTTTCCATCATTGTCGAATCAAAATTTTGCATTAAAAGAAAATACTTGGTATAATTGTCCCGAAAAGGTAAATTCGCAAATAAATAAAGCAATCAATTATCGACAAAAATATCTTACCTTAAACTTTCCATTCATTAGTAATCAACTGGAAGTTAACTTGCAAGCATTTACATTTACATTCACCAAAAATAGAAAAACTATTTCAGGTTTTCTACGATGGATACCAAAAATTGTATCAATTAATGAACATGCTACTGATAAGATTACTTATCTCGATAATTTTAAGCCAATGATTGGTTCAAAGCCGATATTATTTACATCAAAACATCAAAGAAAATTAATGACCATAGATGATAGTAGTTTGGAAAATCTTGAAGAACACGAAATGATCGATGATGTTGATGATGAAAGCACTTATTCTAACAATTATGATGCATTCAACGAGGGTGAAAATGCACATAATTTGAAGGTAAATAATGCTTAACTTTTTAAAACTGCATCACAGTTTAAGTTTTGGATGTTTTGTTTTGAATAAATATATATAGATATGGGTTTTACCAGCCTGGTCGGATACCCCAATAATATTTTCTTCCATTGTAAGGACAAAATATACTATTATTCGGATCATATGAGAGAGAGAGGCATAGATAATCCATAGATTGGCCCGAGCAATACCATTTTTTATCCTTACAATAGTCGAGAAACGCTACCAGCTGATCTGTGAGCTCGTAACTTGTCTTTACTATTGTAACGATAAAACAAGGTATTGTTCTCGCCAATCTAGGTATTATCTATGACCCTCTCTCATATGACCTGGATAATAATATGTTTCATCCATACAATAGAAATAACTGTTAGCGCAATTCCTTACAGGATTAAAATTATGAAACACGATGTAACCAGTACAAAGGATGAAACCAAAATTTGTTTGCATAGAAGTAATTGATAAGATATTCAAATCTTTTAGAATTTTAGATATTTTTTATCAAATTCTGCAAAATAAAATCAGAATACTATACGAAATTAGCTTATAGACAGTGCACGAAATTAATACAAATATTTTAATGAGTTTTAAGTTTTCCAGACAGTTTATGAAAATTTTTCTAAAAGCATGTCTATCACAGTCTGTGATGGATAATCAGTTAATTACATAGTAATTAATTAATTCAAATACTTGTCATGGTCTGTCGAAGGGTAGGGAGGGATTAGATGCAAATTTCTATCCCCAAACACCTCAGTACTCCTTTCAGACCGTGTTTCACAAAAGACGTTATGCTTGAAAAAGACCAAGGTAGATTCGTATTATTTTCTTTTACTCTATCCAGCGTAGTGAAGTCAAAATAGCTTTCCTATTTGCAAACCAAGTCTTTTAATTTATCTTGACAGTTTACTGGTGAAGCCACGAATTTTGCTAGCCATCCAATTGATGAAATTTTTAATACAACTAGTAGTAGTGAAAGTATGAGTTCGATCAATATTGATGATTCAACTAAAAGCTTGTCAACGTCTTCTCCGATTGAAATTCGAACGAGAGATGTTTTCAATAGATCAAGTACAGCTGACAGCAGAGTTGCTTCGTCAAGTGTTTCATCAGTAGAGGATTCAACTCATTCAAAGTTTCTAGAAGCAAGCAGTACAATCGAAAAGTTACAAGGCGAAAAAGAATTACTCGAAGATGAAATTCAAAAGTATATGAAGTTAAATAAAGTAAAAACTGAACAGTACGCTAAAGAACTTTCCGAACTGCAAGCACAAATGAAACAAATAGAACAGAAACGAAAAACAATGGAAGAAGAACAACATCGTTTGAAAAAAGAGCAAGAGCGTTTACAAAAAGAAAAAGATCGAATAAAAAAAATAAAAGAGGAAATAAAAACTGTCGATTATAAAAATGTTCAATCAGAAATAGTCGATAATTGTTTATCACCGTGCCATAATTTACTCATGAAAACTCTTAAAAAAATATCAACAATACAAGATTCACAACTAATAGATAATCAACTTCAATTAATGTTCGAAAAACGTGAAATGGTCTATACAATAACTGTTACAGGTTTTCCAAATCATCACAATCAGTTTATGGCAATATTACAGAGAACCAAATCTGCAACAACTGGAATACAGTCAGCTAAAAGTTATTATCAACGAGTTTTAAAACGAATGATGCAATCACTGATGACGACGTTTTCAAAAGTTAAATCAAAATTAAATTATTGGTTTTTATTTAAAAATATATTTTTAAATAATATACAAGAAAAATCGAAAGACTACGTAACCATGTTTAGTACATTTATAGATCAGAAGCTGAGAACATTGGGTGAACAATGCATATCAGGTGCAATAACACAACCATGGATAGAAATACGTAAATTCACTAATCAATTTATCGACGATAATTCATTTTTGAGTCAAGTTGAAAGAGCAAAACATCAAACATTAGAGCAATTTATTAGAGAAAATATTTCACTTCAAAAAACTAGAACTAATAAAAAGCCAACAGAAAAATCGATAAAAACAGTTCAAAGTTTGCTTAGAAAGATGACTCAAATATTTCAAACAAAGCCAGAATATAGAGGCCATGAACTGGAGCAACTCCAATTAATACCCGATTTATTACAACAAATTATGATTTATTATTGTTGCTTTACATTGCAATTGCCTTTATTTGAATTAGCTGAAGATTTACTAGGTAAAATCGAAAAAAATACAATAACAACTATTACTACAACAACTGGATCAGGTAAATCAAACAGTATTCTAAATTTCTATATAATCTTTCTGGATGAATATTTTTGTGCAAAATTATGAAACATGCAAGTGTTAATTAATATGAATAGATCTTTTTTAGTTTTCACCGTATTTTTCCACAGCAATGAAACATTTTTTTCAATATCCTATTTGTTTTCGAATTTAAATTTGTTCTTTTATGCCTTTCATTTTAAATGCACTAATAATATAACCAGGTTTCATTCACTTGAGCTTATAAAACAAGCACAATAGAATTTCTTTATTATACTAGAAATATGCAAAAAACATTCATTTCACATGGTTCATTTTATCTAACATTCGATTTCAACCTTCCTACTGATAGATTAAGCTCCAGGAAATGGTTTCATTGAAACTTTTAGAATTCTCTAATCTTAGTAGAAAAAAAACGTCATGATGTATTTAACGTACCTCCAAACTGTTTATGACCGATGAAATAACGCTTTTTAGCAAACTTTGCTCTGTACTTTTCGCTTTGTTTTCGCTGTTTTTCTTTATGCTAAAAGTCAGTTCAGTCGATCTATTCCGCTATATTTTTCTATACTTTCAGGAAAGTCTACACTGCTTCCAGCTCTTCTTATTGCTGAAGGTTATGATAGAGTGATTGTAACTCAACCACGTCGTCTACCATGTCAATTGATATCTAATCGTGTTAATGAAACGATGAAAGCGGATACACACATTAAACAAGAACAAGTAGCTGGCTGGATTGTTGGTGGCGTAAAAGAGAACCCAAAAGCTAAAATTTTATATATGACCGATGGTTTCCTTCGAGAACGCTTACTTTATGATGATACTATTGTGCCAGTAAATCGTTCAGTTAACAAATCGATTGTTATTTTCATTGACGAAACCCATGAAAGGTCGATTAGTATTGATCTATGTCTAGCGTTCTTGGCTCGATTGTTAACGAATTATCCACAATTAAAATCTAAACTAAAACTAATTATATCGTCAGCAACATTGGATACATCTGTACCTAATCTGTTTCGAAATATTCCTCAAATGAATCTTCATGAATTTTCTGTGCCACAATTTAGTACAAATCACACTGTAACAAAATATTCGCGTCCAAATGCGAATATTCTCGACATAATTCAAGAATTATATAAGAAATGTAAACTGAATGATCAAATCCTTTGTTTTGTTAATTCAGCTTTAGAAGCTGTAGAAAATTGTAAATTATTATCAGAGATAAGTGGAAACACAATAAATGCTCGTCCATTAATTCAATCTCAATCAACAGCTGTTCAACAAGAAAATATTGCACAAGCAAGTGTACTTTTTTCAACAACCATTGCTGAAACGTCATTAACATTTCCATCATTAAAATATGTCGTAGATACAGGCTATATTAATTTGCCTATCTATAATCCTGAATTACAACGAACAGTATTAACAACAATACGAGCAGCTCATTCCACTATCAAACAACGTTTAGGTCGAGTAGGAAGAACACAACCTGGTGAATATTATGCTTTGTACAATTATGATCCTGAGGAACTACCGTATCCAATAGCACAAATATGTCAATCGGATTTAACGAATATTGAATTTTCATTACGACGATCACCATTAAAATGTGGACTTCATGTTATTCAGAAATTTTTACCTAATAAACCAGTACCACAATATATCGATAGTGCTGTTAGCGCCTTAAGCGATTTAAGTAAGTTGAGAGAAATAGGTTATCTATAAATACAGTTTTTTTTTATATGTTTACTTTCGACTAAGTCATAGACTGATTTGAAACTTCTCTGCATATGTCTATAATGATCTATGTATAATAAAATTAATCCACGTGTAGAGATCATCTGAACATCGAGATCCTCGAATAATCTTGTTAATTTTGATTTTACGATCTAACTTGATATGATGTTTAGTTCTCATATAATTGAATAATTTGAGATCACCGACTGGATCGTATTATGAAATATAATTTTTATAATAATCTATAAAAAAAAAGGATTGAGTATATGATTATGTCAGATTTGAACTGATAGAATAAACGACATAATTAACAATTTACTGTTTCTGATTCAATAGCAAAACCTGAACTGAAATAATAAGATTCGTTTCTTACGATTGTAAAAGAAACTTTTCATATGGACAATGATGTATACATTATTCTATATTTTCTATTTTATTGCGAATAGCTTTTGACAGAGAGAAGATAGAGTTCCGTTTTTCACTGCTATGTTTGATGAGTTTTCTAAATAAAGCGATTGGAAAATTATCTTCTTCTAACATAAGGAAGATCTAAAAGACTGATTCATTTTTCATGATAATAATGAGACAAATTGGCTCAGAATTTTCGAAAGAATAGTAGTTACTTCCAAGGGAGAAATTGTCACAGTTACTTTACGAAAGACATTGTTTTAAATCCTTGAAAAAAAACATTGGATTATATTGTCTCACAATCTATATTTTGATAGATTATGATTTCTTTTACAACGCAAAAGCCA